GTACATACGTACCACTCACTACATGTGAGTTAATACCTCTTAATCAATGTTTTAAATGTTTTTAAATGTTTTAGGGGGGGGGGATACAAGTAGAATCATGTCGCCAAAGAAAAACGATCAACCCCTCAACCAAGCACCAACTCTTCAGATTAATGAAACTACCTTTTGAAGCTGCAGTCTCGGCTGCCGTGTCAGCTATTCTGAACCGCCTTAACACCGACAATGCAAATGTTAGCGGGATTGTTAACAACAATTCCAATCCGGGTAATAATCAAGCACCTCAACGAGCAACAAACTACCATGACACCCGGAGTCCTGAGACCAAGAGTAACAAACAGAAGTCTTGGGCTAAATATAAGGACAAATCACTCTGAAGGGAGAACAAGAAACAACCACTGGTAACAACCTACATAGCCACGACATCGGTACCTCCTACTACCACCCCTTCGGGTATCCAAAATGTCCCTAATCTAGCCAGACAATATGCTGGAAATCTCCCAAAGTGCAGCAAATGCAACTATCACCACTACGGGCCTTGTAGGGGGATATTGTGCTCAAACTGCAACAAAAAGGGGCACACCATACATTATTACAAGAGCGTAGCAAGTACGATCAACCAAGTACCCAACACCGGTGTGAACCAGGGTTGCTATGGTTGTAGCAAGGTGGGTCACTTCAAAGGAACTGCCCAGAGGCAGGAAATGCTGGCATAGATGGAAGTATGCTACCAACCACCGCCACAGGAGAGACCACTCTGGACCCACGTTAAAGTAATTAAGGCGTTTCGTTGTAACAAACTTATAAACTATTTAAAACTATTGCAACTACAGTCTTATCTTTTGCGAGATAGTATACCTTGTTCACAACAATAGTCTTGTAGTAAATCTAAAGTACATTAACTCTGTTAAAGGTTCCACGGTTGTGTTTTGTCTGTAACGCCTTATGTTCAAATCTAATGTCTTAAATTTTCCTTATGATTCCTACATTATCATACAACTAGATTCACTTTGATCTGCACGAAACCAGTTTCATACATACATCTCTTTCTTCGAAATCTCCTTTGCAGTGAAGCCGTCATATCAGAACACTGAAGTACTCATGCTTGGAGTACCTCATACTTCCTTTCTTTTCCGAAGAAATCCCCGAAGTACAACTCGTACAGTATGTCAAGTTCAATCCAAAGATCCATACAGTTGATTTGTCGCTGAAGAATGTATACATAAGGGTGATATATAATCAAGGTTCTATAGGTTTAGAATTGATGATTCCACTTTAACTTCTTTTTCCTCGATATGATGTGAGCTTAAAGAAGAATCAGTAATTCGACTATCTTTTCAACCTTAATTATATATGACTTGTATACATGAGATGGTGATCGTTGAACCATGTATGAATTCTAATATAAACTTCAGGACGGAGAACTACCCAAGACTACTAGTAATTACATTGTCATGCGAACAAACTTAGAACCCAGTATGAATCCTGTAACCAGATCGCGCTACAGTGTAAATACCTACGGAGATACAAGAACAATCTGGACAACTTAGCGAATTACTCAAAAATAGAATCAGGAGACCAGGCTTCTCATCCTGGAGAGCTCTAGACTAATTCTTCCAGAAGTTCACGGATGGTATCATATGTACCTCGACTATCGAGGACTCCGTCAAGAATTTCATTAGAAATCTTTACCTCTGCCTCGCATAGATGAATCAGTTGAGCAAACGCACGGAACGAGTTACTTTTCAAAAATGGACCGAGATCCGAATATCAACAGTTTCGAGTGTTAGTGAAGGATGTCTCGAAGACTACCTTCCAAACTCGATGCGGACACTTCGAGTCCGTACTGATACCCCTCAGATAGGACCAATATGCCCGAAGCATTCATTAGTTTAATGAATAGGGTCTGTCTTTCTTACTTGGATCAGTTCGTCATTCTCCATGTAACTACTTACTTATCTACCCTCGTAGTAAGAAGAAAACCGCGGAAAAATTACCCTCAGAGAAATTTTTCGCGAAATTCTCTAAAACGTAAGTTTTGAAATTGGAGAGTCAAATTCCGAAGGCACACCATTAGTGATGTGGAAATCCTTGAGTACTCTGTCTATTTATCCAAAACCACTGGGAATTGGTCGGCACCGAAGATGCCGACAGAAATTCACCGAATACTAGGTCTTTCAGACCTACTGTAATAGTTCATCCAGAACTCCTCGCATATTACAGAAACCCGTACGACTATGACCCAGCAGAGGGTGGCCTTTGATTGGGAAGTTAAGAAACAAAATGAAACCTTGGAAATCCCAAGTGAGAGACCAAGTTCTCTAGGAAAACTCACTCTGGGAATGGCTTAATACGCTTCGTATCACGTGAAAAGCTTAATCCAAGATATTCAGGACCTCCGAGATTCTTACGAGAATCGGTCCTATATCTCGCAAACTAGATCTACTCCGTGAATTCACTATCGTACATTTTACCCTTTGCGTCTCGATCTTGAAACCGTACCTTTCCGTTAGGACTCTCGTAAGTCCACTCGACGAGATCAATATTAACGAGATCCTTGCCTTTGTATTAGAACCGTAGTAACCCTCGACTAAGAGGTCAAACAGACGAAGCAACGCCGTCGCCCGTTAGTGAAGGTTCGTTGGGATATCAACCGAGGACCCGAATTCACTTAGGAGCGCGAGAACCAATTGATTAGGAAGTTTCCACCTCATGACCTGACAATTCATGCCTACTTCCTTACCAAAGTTCTAATTTCAGGATGAAATTCCCTTTAACCGGGGGGTGATGTGACAACTCGAAATTTTCATTCGGTCAAACCCTAAAAGTCAATGACTTCGATTTATAAGTCAATTACATTATTATTTATTTTTAGCAAATTTATGGTTCGTTTGATACTTGTACATTCCTAGTAACTATTATAGGTATAGTTAGGAGATACTACTTGCTATTCCAATTACAAGGAATTACACCAGAGTCAGTTCATTCATGAGTTTATATTATACATTAATGTTACATGAATACGTTTACATAGATACGCTTACATGAATACCTTTACATAAATACATTTACCTATATACGCTTACATGGATACTTGTACCTAGATTCTAAATGACGAGTTACTAGTATGTATTATATGTGTAAATTTCTTCTGCCTATCCCAGTTCAATGGGATGTCTAGACGGGACTAACCATTCCGGAACCCACCTGTTAGCCACAGCGGTTATGAACATATACGGATGCCTATGGTTATTACTTATATTAGGGGTACCTTTACGGGACTAACAATTCCTATAACCTATTGTTCGCTACAGAGGTAAATGAACATCTACGGATGCCTATGGTTAATACTTATATTAGGAGAACATTTATGGGACTAACCATTCCTTAAACCTGCTGCTAGCTACAGAGGACAATGAACAATCTACGGATGTTCAAGGTTATACATTTCGGTAGTCACGATGTCGTGTTGATCCTAATACAAAAGGATAACACTTACATGGATATATTTTTCCTATTACTTTTATATTTTGATATATTCACATAAACGCCGAAGTAGACTTTATTTTGTTAAATAGTAGTTATAAAGGGGAAAACCATCTTTGTTATAGCAAAACATTTGAGTCTTGGTAAAAGACTAGTTTCCATACATTTGAGTCTTGGTAGAAGACTACTTTCCATACATTTGAGTCTTGGTAGAAGACTACTTTTAAAACATACAAGTCTTGGTAGAAGACTACTTTCCATACAAGTCTTGGTAGAAGACTACTTTTAAAACATTCGGGCCTTGGTAAAAGGCTACTTTTTATACTGATAGGAATCATGGGGATTTGCTAGGGTATTTAAACGCTTTCAACTGCTTTCAAACAATTCGTACTTATGAAATCTTTTCCAAAGGTTTACAAGTCATTACTTTACAGTGTTACAAATCAAAGACACATTAATACTTATGAATTCACAAACTTTTTGGCTGATACTCGCTTTCAAAATAACTTGTATTCTCAGGTCACAAATAGACAGGTACAACGACCAGGTTTTGTGAAGATAGAGATATCAAGACTCCTATTTTACTTTAAATATTCATTATGTTGTCTTATATTATGACGGAACACTTGTAACTAAAATTATACTATTAATGCAATGGATGATGTTGTTGCTTGTTTACTACTTTGCATTGTTATGATACATTACATGACGTCCTCCGCCCCATAACGTTTCCGCCGTTCTCGGTTTTGGGGTGTAACAAGAAACATTGATGGTATTCATCCTACCTGAACTCGACCTTAACACCATATCTCCAATCTTCACCGGAAGCACTGTCGGGCTGTTAAGAAAAGCGAGAGTGGATGAGTTCTACGCCATCACGTGGAAATCACCAAATGAATTGATCTTTGCCCACCACTGGCGCTGTCATCTTGACGCAAGGACTGAATCTATCAAAATAGTGAGAAAAGAACAATGTTTGGCTCTTGGGACAAGATTGAGGTCGAAATAAAAGATTAAATACCAGTTTTACAGGGTGTTTCCTGCCGGCAGGGGTCTGGAACCCCGTCGATGAAGCACGAAACTAGTGGGTATGTGTGTGAAATTTGATCTTCTGATTGAAATTGTAAACTATTTTCCTACATGATGGATCTTTCTTGCTAATTTGTGGATAACATAACTTCACTTTTACAGTCTTGTAGGTCGAGTTTGTGCCCACTTGGAATGTTTCGTTGAATGCCCGTGGGTTTGTGGGTTCATCAGGCTGATAGAAGTGCAATATTTGGGGAAGAAGGTTAGACTCCAAATGTGTGTGTGAGAGAGAGACAAAGCGAGGGGCAGGTCCCATGTTTATTATTAATATAACATTAAAATATATAGAAAATACATAAAAAAAAATATATTAGAAGGCCATTTTAGTCTTTTTAATTTTCCGAAGGACCAAAACCATAAGTAAACTGACTCAAAAGGACCATGAAACATAAAAATTCGAGTTTCGGACTAAACCTTCCAAAAAAAATGCCATTTCATACAAGCTCTTTTTTAAATCCAATATGTCAATGACGTTACAACAATATTACATATTGCAAATAATTGGAATTAATTGATTTTTGTAATTTATCGTTGTAGGCCAGTTTTTAAAATGCTGCAGTTCTTGTGGTCCAAATGATTGTAATGAATTGGTCAAATGGGTTGGCTAAGACAAATGTGGTACACCAGATACAAATTACTCTACAATAATTGAAAAACAAATCAAGATCTATAGCTAGGACATTATTTCAGAAGATTTTTTCTACGAGTTGAATCTATTCGATGTTTAATGAAAACACTTGATTGTATATGTATACAAAAGAATAAAACGGTCAGTATACAATGATAACCGATGCATTTACTTTCTAAAGATCATGAATAAAACCCAAATTCATCGCCATTCCAAGTTGACGAAGATTTGTCAGAGGTCATGAATTGGCCAAAAGACATGGGAGGTTTAGGATCTGGGAGGGATTTCCATTCACCTTCAAGCATAAAAGCAACCGAAGACATGGTGGGACGATTGTTTGGATCTTCTTCAACGCATAGTAGAGCAATACGCATCCATTTGAGACCCTCATCGACAGGACAATCATCATTCAGATTTTCATCTATCAGTTGCTCTCCTTTTCCTTCTTCCCATAACATCCATGCCTTCAGTTGTCAAATTGATATGGTCTATTGTTAGAAATTAGCCACTTCTTGAAAAAGTTAGAATCTTTTAAACTAAAGTTCTTCTAATGGAAATATAAATAGAAGAAACTAATGAAAAAGATTTGGCTCACATAGTACATAAGGTTTTGTTCATGCTCATCGTAGAACAACCTGCAGTTCCTTTTCCCGGATATAATTTCAAGAAGAAGAACACCGAAACTATACACATCAGATTTAATTGAGAACAACCCCTCCATTGCATACTCAGGTGCCATGTATCCACTGTCGAAAGTTCACAACAAACTTTAATTAACCTGAATAATTGAATATATTAATTTCTATAAGCTGTATATGTGACTTACTAGGTTCCAACAACTCTGTTAGTATTAGCTTCCATTTGATTCGATCCAAAAATTCTCGCAGTGCCAAAATCTGATATTTTTGGGTTCATATCGTCATCTAGTAAAACATTGCTAGCTTTAAGGTCTCTATGTATGATCTTGAGGCGAGAGTCCTCATGAAGATAACGAAGACCCTTTGCTATTCCATTCACTATGTTGACACGCTTAGCCCAGTCCAGTTCTTTTGCTTTTTTAGGATCTTCTATCATAAAAGTAAACTAATTAACTTACGCCATAATTAAATACATAACGTTAACAAGGTCTATAATAATTGAAGGGAAGTAAAGAAGTGATGAGGAGAACGAACCAAAAAGAAACTTGTCGAGACTATTGTTAGACATGTATTCATAAACAAGAAGCCTTTCCTTCCCTTTCATACAACAACCCAAAAGCTTCACCAAATTTTTATGTTGTAGCGTTATTATTAGTTTTACTTCTGTTTTGAATTCATTCATTCCCTGACTTGAGTTTTCTGAAAGTCTTTTCACTGCTATCTTTTTACCATCGGAGAGCGTTCCCTGAGATAAAAATAAATAAATAAATAAATAAATGTTTGAGAATATGTAAACTGGCAAAAAGAAAAGAGACCAGTATATATATATCGAAAGAGTTTTGATTATTACCCAATAAACAGGACCAAAACCACCTTCTCCAAGCTTATTTGCAACTGAGAAATTACGAGTAGCGGCTTGAATTGCATCTAGTTTAAAGTAAATAATCTCCCCAGTGTCATCGTCTGATCCTTGAAGCGGTTCTTCCTCTTCACCTACTCCAAGATTATTATTACACACGTAAATAGATGGGTGATTGTATATCGTGATATACTACTTTCTTTAAAATCTTATTTACCATTTTTACTGCAGTTTTTGCCGATCTTTAGGCAAATAAAGAAGGTCGAGATTGCCAATGCTACTGCTCCCACTGCTATTACTACTGGAACGATGACATTTGTTCTTTTTCTCCCTTGATGAAAGATATCAATATCAAAAACCAACGTTTTGTGCAACACCAAACTAATGTCTATAAATTAATATGAAAATAAATATAATTAATGAAAAACACAATGAACCTGAAGGTGGAATCTGGACAACATATACTTGGTATTTTAGTAAACATGAATATCGGTAGTAAACTACTCCTTCAGCACTTCCACTATACGATGTTCTTAGATAATCAGTAGCGTTACCCAAGCACTCATCACATTTGTTGTGCGATATATTTGGAATGCATTGCATAGTCGCTTCTATATTTCCCCTAGAACTTGGTAAAATGTTAGTTTCAGAGTAAAATCTTTTACTATAACCATCACTAGCTGCTTTAACCTGTAACTCTTTGAAGGACTTTTCTAGCGACTCAGCAACTGAAATAGTATTCCAGTTGGTGATATAACTTGTTGTTGGAAACGATAGAGCTTCTTTATCATCAAGATTAACCATGTCAAAACTTGTATTAGAGTAGCTGAACATACATCTTCCGTAATACCAACCTGTAGCTTTGATTTGTTTAGAACAATCCTGTCGAAGCCTTTCGGTTGCAGACTTCACACATCCCTTACAGGATTCATTTTGAATGTCTCCAGGGCATAGTGCAAGGGCATAAGCTGTGGTGTTTTCATGGTCTTCTGAAGGATTTGAAGATGTGTAATTGTAAAAGAAACTATCTCCGATAGGTGCTTCAGGTAGAGCAGATAACGTACGATTGAGGATCTTTTCATATGTACTGTTCTGCGTATAGTTTCCCCAGTTTGCGCACATATGGTCTCCACGGGTAACGGTGACACCAGAAAGATGTATAAGAATATAAAACTGAAATAAAACTAACACCCAATTTGGAGAAACCATTACAGTTTTTTTTTTTTTTTTTGTTTGCCGAGTACTCGAGCAGCTATATATATTGCAACTCATTTGTCAAGAACTTTGACTTCTGATTCATAATTAAGTAGCGTTGTGAATTCAAAGAGTACGTAGGAAGTCGCTGAAGTAAATGTGTCATCCCTCCATGGGCCATGGCCATTATTCCGTGAATTGTAAGAAATTGTAGAGGATGAAGCAAAAATGTGGAGGATTATGATAGAAAACGAGTGGAGTGGAAACCTTCAAACCAGACCTGGTAGTCAACCTAGATAGATATTTTTTTACGTAGCTAGACCACCATTAAAAGCAAGTATAATGCAAGGACAGAAAAACTAGTACGTGGTCCATTTCTACTTTAATAATATGGCACAATATTAGTTTCATCTCTTAATAACTTTGAATATATTAGATTTGCCATTATTATTATTCAATTTGCATTCGGCCAAAACATAATGAAAATAACGGAGAACAGTTCTGTTAATAAAAATTTACGGATATTTACCGATATGACTATTAGATTAGATGAGACGTACAAAACATAACCTAAAAAGTTGAATTAGATAGAAGCGCAAATCACTTATAAGTAACAAAGTTTTCAAACATATTATGTTTTGTTTGTTTAAGAAACCCAAGTAATTTAACATTAATTTGTCTAAAAAATCCAACTAACTTACACTTTTGTTCAACTCTCATTAAAGTCGGCTAACTATTAAATGTCAACGAATGACATAGGTTATGACGTGAAATTAAATATCGGAAAAACGATTTATAGGGCCAATAAAGTTTCGAAACTATTCAATGCATTCCAATGTTAAAAAAAAAATTACTCAACTAACTTAACCTTTTGTCAAGAAAAAACCCCAACGAATTTATGTTTTTGTTCGATTCTCATTAGAGGCAACAAGATTCATTAAATATACCATTAGTTGACAAATGACATGACATTATGTTTAATGACTTGGAATAAACAAATTAGAATTGCCATTTATATATCGATCAAGGGCTTGGAGAAGACAAAAACGAACAAAGTCTGCCTTTAATCTCTTCTAATGGCTACTACTTCTTCCTATCAATCGTTAATGTCCAACTCAAGATCTACAGAGAAGATATTTGATGATACAAAGCTTTGTGGATGTTGACGCCTTTCTAGGATTTCGACTTCTAGAATGGAGGATCATCAAGAAAAAAATGTTTAGGGCTTGTTCGAACAGATGGTTAAGTGTAATTCAAAGCTTATATCATTTCCATTTCTATCAATTTGATTGACTATCTTAATAAATTCCTATTTTTGATGGAACCAAACAGATAGATAGAAGATGGATATTATAAGTGTAATTGAAAGCTTTATTAAGATATTATTAATATAATCAACCAAATAGATAGAAGACCGACATGTTAAAACTTTCAATTACACTTACCCATCTGTTTGAACAAGCTCTGGACTTTTTTCTCTGGATGATCCTCCATTCTAGACGTCCAAATCTAAGAAGGGTGTCCACATCCATGCGGTTCACATCATCAAATATATGTTTTGTAGATCTTAATTGGGGTATCAACAGTTGAGAGGAAGAAGAACAAGTACCTATTACAAGAGATCAAATACAAACATCGTTCTATTTTCTCTTATCAACGCCCTAATTAGATATATAAAGAGAAATTCTAATATATTTATTCCATGTGATAAAATATAATGCCATGTCATTTTCTAACTAATTATATACCTAATGAATCTAGTTGCCTCTAATGATCTCTTATCTCTTTCTCTTCTACAAATCTTCTAAACTAAAGTTGAATGATTCACTGTATTAAACCATACACTGATAACAACTTGAAACTCTTTTCCGGTGGTTAGACAAAACACCAAGTTCTATCACACGCAACAATCCCTTCTTACCAATCTTACACTGATTCTGTGATTCGGTGTGACAAAACACACACCGATGAGAATCTAACAGTCTTTGCCGATGGTTAGACAAAACACCAAGTTCTATCACACGCAACTATCCCTTCTTACCAATCTTACACTGATTCAGTGATTCAGCATGATAAGACACATGCTGATGAGAATCTAACAGTCTTTGTCGATGCTTAGACCAAAAACACCAAGGTCTATCACACGCAACAATCCTCTCTTTACCTTCTTCTCACTCAGTGTCTAATGATTCAGTAAGAAATACCACTCACTGATAAAGACTCGATAGTCTGTGCCGATGGTTAGATAATTAAACTAGTATCTATCACACGCACCAATCACCTTGCTAACCCAACACAAGCAAGTTGTACCTTGAATTGACGACAAACTATCTTTTAGCATCTACCTCTCCGTGATAACAATCTCAGCGCTTCCGCACTCACTGATTGTAGTTTCCTCTTCGGTACAACGACTATATTTACCCAACGGCTATTTGTTTTTTTTTTTGATTTGACAGTCTGTCAAGATACGCATTTATTTTCGATGAAGATAATCGTTATATTTTTTTTCCGTTTCATTCCTTATTTAAACCTTTTCACCTCTTCTCCAAACCTTTTTACCTTCCTCCAATCTTCTCTCACTCTTAAAACAAAAAAAAAATAAAAAAAAAAAAACAAAAAAAAACCCTATAATCCTAAATCTCTTCAATGGCGGCATCACTGTTCACCTTCTCCTCCACCTCAAGAAGAGTTGTCCCAGCTCCAAACTCGCCTCCTCTTCCCATATACATCAAAGCCACCAACGTAGTTTTCAACCCTGATATTCCAGATGTTCATCGAGGTCTTGGACTTGATGATTTTGTCAATTTCTTAGCCTCCTGCCCACTCAGATACGCAATCAGTGACATTCCATCAGAGTTCTTTCCCGAACAAATCTGTGAATTTTACTACACTGCAACAATTAATGATGAAAAAAACGCCATCTCCGGGACTATTGGCCGTGGAAGACACTCAGTCTTCATTACCGCTGACCTCCTCAGTGCTGCGCTCAGTTTACCAATCTTTGAACCATTCTAAGAGCTTCCATCTATTGAACGCTGTAGACGTCTCTTTGATCAACTGGGATACGATCACTCTAAGGCTGGTACTCGATCAGCTCTCATTCTGCGTCAGTGTATGACTCCAGGATGGAAGTTCTTCATCGGTGCTCTGTGTACATGTGTGGGTCACAAATCTCGCAGTGGTGATCAATTGAGCACTTATGAACAACAAGTCGTATGTTCCCTTCTTCTTAACAAACGCCTTGATTATGGGGCTTTCTTCTTTGATCAGCTTGTCCAACTTCTTCATGCAAATGTACGCGCTGATCATGTCCCCTTTCCATGTTGGATTGCTCTTGTGCTAGATAAATTTTTCGCTGAAGTTTACTATTCACATTCTGGGAACCCCATCCAATGCCCTCGCATGTCAGTGCGAATGTATCAGGATGATCCATTGGACACCGACATCGGCATCTCTGATCGGATGAGAGAATGGATCGCAAATCCATATACTGTTCCTTCACTCACCGCTGATACTGATGAAGGAGCTGATGGTAACAACGAACATCATGCTGATCAAGAAGATGAATCACAGAATGATGTCCATCTCTCCCCTCAACTCTCTCATCATACTCTCTCTGACACTGAGAGAGGTCACTTAGCTCAAGGGGAGCCATTATTTCAGGAGGAGCAACCATTCTAGGGGGAGCCACCATCTCAGGGGGAGCAACCATCCCAAGGGGAGCACCCTTCTCAAGGGGAGCAACCTCGCTCACAAGAAGTTCTAGGTACTCTGACACTGACTCGGGACATGAGTCAGCGTCTTCTACGAATTAAGGCTGATGTCCAGCAGCTGAAAGGTATTATGTTGCCAACTCCTGCCCCTGGCACACAACATGATGATGATCAAAAAGGGGGAGAATGTGATGATGATCAAAACGAGGGAGACACTGAATCTGTTGAGCTTGAATCTGCGGGCAACACTTTAGTCCAGACCGAGCCACCACAGCCGATGCACGAGTCTGATAGACCAGCTGCTGACGACTCAGATACACCTGCAGATACTGAACAGATTGCTGAAGATAGTTAGCATGACGATGAGTGCATGAACTTCATTAATCCCACTATTCCAGCTCAAGGAGAAGCCTCAGAGGATAATGAAGATGAACATGATGATGAATGTCAAATGCTAGATATGAAATTCATTGATCCTATTATGCCAGTCCAAGGAGAAGATTCAGATGTAGCTAGTGAGGATACTCAACCTCTATCTCGCAAGCGCAAGGCAGCAGATACTGAATTGGCTTCTTCACACACTGATACTTCTCTGCGTAGCAAGAAACCTAAGTCCATCGTCAGCATATCCAACTTGGCAGTTGAATGGAATATCTCTCTTGATCAAGTTAAGAAAATTCTTGATGAAGCCAATCAAGCTAACTTCTAAAGAATATTGCTCAAGCTAATGAATCTCTCATTCAGCATCAACTTCAGGCCCAAGGATCCTTTGAAGCTCAGTTGCAGAAGTTGTTGGAATATCAGTCCAAATCCAAATCTTCCCAGCCTCCTCCCAGTAGCAGCAAGTCAAGGACTGAAAATGTTCTAGACAGGATTGATCGAAAAAGGTTTCAAGATGTTCTTAAACGACGAGTGAGTAGTGATAAGATCATCAAAGTTAAAGCTTCTAAACCTCGTAACGAGAAAATTCTTACATTGCTGATCACTCGTCAAGGTCCTCAACATCCATAGACTGAAGTTGTCAAGAGGGATGAGTTGATCAAATACGGATATTCTGAATGGATGGAATTGCTCGAATTAGCATCCAAGCAAACTTCAGCTCTCTCTTCAGAACTGACATGTGCTCTCCATCTACTGATTAAGAAAGTTCAGCGTCTGGATCTTGTTCCCGTGAAACACTCTCAACAGCAAGGCCAAAGTTCCTCAGTTTTTAGAATCAGAAGGACCAGGTTTCAAGTTGATAGTGAAGATGTGTTGGTTCTAATTTTGGTGCTGAAGGAATAAACAACTCTCTTCCTATCGGTGTTGAGCCGGTTCAACATAAGTTCATCTCTGTTCCTGAACATGGAATGTTTTATCTCGATAAAAACAGAAGAATGTGCTTTCAGAGCACCACAGAAATTTCAAGAGCTCCAACAACACATCTTGTTGGCTTAAGACAAATGTGCATGAGTCATCAACATCTATCTGGAGAGTTTCACATACTGATTGCTATGGAGCTGCTGAATAGAAGACAGGAGCTGCTGGATAGTCCTTACTGGCCTCTAAAAATAGAAGCTGAAGTTGAGTATGAAGAATTTTTGTCCATAGGTGTTCTTGAATAGTTGTTGTTTTGAACATCATCATATTGGGGGAGATTGTAAGGTCGAACCTTATAATATGATGATGTTTGAAACTAATTCATCAGCAGCAGCATCAGCATCAGTATCAGCGTCAGCATACAAGATGTTCTGTATACATATAGTGTTACGTAACAGATTTAGTATTTATCTTGTTTCCATAGTTATCTTATATTGGTTAGTTGTAACATCCCTGATTTGTACGGATTGTCTATAATGGTTCTATATAGTCCTTTGTACGGGTTTGTAAAGAGGTTGTCTTTCACAAACCCTAATAGCCGCTTTGTGCAAACAATAATCTCTTTGTGAGATTATCCTTCTTAGTGAAAGCTCTTTGTGATATTTCGTTGTTCTGTTCTTATTATTAGTCATTGTTTGATAAATCGATTGATCTAAGGTCCTTTTACTGACCATTCCTTAAACCTACTGCCAGCTACAGAGGAAAATGAACAATCTACGGATGTTCAAGGTTATACATTTCGTTAGTCGCGATGTCGAGTTGATCCTAATACAAAAGGATAACACTTACATGGCTATATTTTTCCTATTACTTTATCTTGTGATACATTCACATAAACGCTGAGGTAGACTAGGTACTGTTAGTAATAGTAAAAAAGAGGGAAAACTATCATTGTTATAGCAAAACATACATGTCTTGGTAGAAGACTACTTTAAAACATACAAGTCTTGGTAGAAGACTACTTTCTAGTATACATGTCTTGGTAGAAGACTACTTTCTAGTATACATGTCTTGGTAGAAGACTACTTTCAAACATACAGGTCTTGGTAGAAGACTACTTTTAAAACATTCGGGTCTTGGTAGAAGACTACTCTTATACTAATAGGAAATATGGGATTTTCGAGGGTTTTCATACTTATATCAATTGTTCATTCAAATATTTACATGGCATTCATAACACCTTTCCAAAACAAGACAATGACTTGTATTCTCAGTTCACTAGTAGATAGGTACGATGGCTAGGTTTTGAGAAGACGGAGCACAGACAAGACTCGTCTTTTATTTTGATTTCATATTTTGGTGTCTTATTTACTTTTATTTTGATTTCATATTTTGGTGTCTTATTACTTGTTTATTACTTTGCATTGTTGAGATACTGTACATGACGTCCTCCACCCCTGAACGTTTCCGCCGTTCTTGGTTTTGGGGTGTGACACCGTCGAAGTTTCGCGATGGAACTAGCATCACACCCGGAAGTGTAAATAGTGAATTTACGATAGAGCGATTTTTAGCCTTAGCGAGCTAAACGAAAGTCGTAAAATACGTTAAGCCAAGACCATCCACATACATACCTCATCATTTTATCACATACCAACTATCTCATCTACCCATGTTCTATCCAACTATTAGTAGATTTAAAATACATATAAAGTTTAACTCATTTAAATATCATATAAAACATCCATTCCACACTTATCTCAAATAAAAAACAGTACATAAACACGTAGCATGTATTTCAAGAAAATACTTCATATTTATGTGTTAGAAGAAAGTAACTATACACTCACTTGATCACAAGATGATCGGACAACACTACCGCTTGTAGAAGTAGTATTCTTCGGTAGATCTGGAAGATCTTCACACAAATCGGGCTCCTCACGGGCAAAGCTTCGGCTCGGAAACTCTTTTCTTATCGGGATCTTTGAGCTTCGGGATATTTCTTGCACGTAAATCGAGGTAAAACGGGAGAGAGAGAGAGAGAGAGAGAGGAGAGAGAGAGAAAATAGCAACCCTAAATCGCTAGCCCTTCAAATCTATTTAAAGGGAAAAATTTGCCCTTGCCACGTTGTGGCACCTTTTTCCATGTTGTGGGCTTGGTCGTCACTGCTTGCGTCATCGCAAGTTGCATCTGGGGGACTCCAGGAGGTGTCAGAAGACTTGCCACGTCGTGGCACTACTTGCTACATCGTGGTATCTGACCGTTCTGGAGTTTCACGCCCGGAACTTCAGAAATTCATAACTTTCACATACAAACTCCGTTTTCGACATTCTTTATAACGACGTATAGGTAAAAACAGGATCTACAACTTTCATTTTGACTCCGTCGGCTAATTTTGAATTTATATTTATTATATTATTTTTAGTAGGTTGGGACAGGAAAACTCCGTTATAAATTCATATTATCGTTTCGCTACTATCAACAAGATCTTCGATTCTCGTTTAGATTGTTTCGGCTAAAAACCGATCGGTCTCAAATCGATTATTTGGATTACGTACTGCTAAGTCGAAACTTAAAAAAATCATAACTTCCTCATACGAAGTCAGATTTGGAGGTTCTTTTTATGCACGCTCACGGTTTAACGTATTCTATGACTTTCGTTTAGATATCTAAGGCCAAATATCGCTTTATGGGCATTACAATTATATCCCCTTAGGATGATTACGTCCCGAAATCATCAACGAAATAGGACTTCATAATGACTCCACACGTTATATCTTCATCCTAGGTAATAACCGTAACTTTTATGTTTCCTCGAAAGGGTATTTAACTTTATGGATTTATTGACCGCAAACGATGCCTAATCTTCCATCTGCTTATCGTACTATGCTGTACTTTCAATCATAACTTCCAAGTTACCAAATAAGTCCTTATCGTGGACTCCTTCTTCTTCTTAGGATAAATACTTTCCTTTATCTATTGTAATAGACCGATGGGTTGTGTTC